TGTGGTGGGGGGGGGGGGGGGGGGGGGGGGGGGGGCGTTCCAATCCATAGAGAATTTGTTTTCTGGTCCTTTGAATTTTGTTTTTAGAGAGACTTTACCTGCAAGAAATAAAAAGAAACGAAGCTCGTTCATTCATATATATATGGAAGCATGTTTTCCGAATTCCACATGAAGTGTGGATTTGTATTGCTCGAAACCGTCGTCAAAACGTCCAATTTTTTCTGTCTGCGCCACTTTCTGTTTCGTGTGTGAGGGAGGGTCTTGGAAGTTGTGCGCGGAATCACTTGATGGGTGGATCGCCGTTATTGCATTTAAAACTCACTGCCGATCGATAGCAGCAATTACGGTATGCCGTTGTAGGTAATGAAGTATTGTTCTCGTTCACATTACAGTACTGTATCATGGGTTGTCCATTGAATAATTAGGTTATCGTGCAATTTCTCATCTACTCGTCCCCGTGTTTACTTCCAGAATACAGTTGCACCTTGAAGAATCGAACCTCCCAATTTTTTTTTTCGAGTCCCGGTATGAATTCCCTCACGGAGGTGTTTGATGCATTGTTGAAATGCTAAGTGAAATGCTTCCCTCCTCAAAGCTCCATTACTCGAATTTCCTGGAGGCATTCAGTCTATCATTTTATTGACGTAGGAAAGTGGAAAGTAATGACAATGTCGCGACGTGTTTGAAAGGTAAATGAAAGACTACAGTAGGGCAAATGAACGCCTACCTCGAAGTTCAGCATCCAACTAACTTAGAAAAGCAAATGGAGACCTATAGTATCACCAATTGAACTTTTCTGTGAATCTTTCTTTTTCCGGAAAAATGTTTGTATCCCTAAATCAGCTCCTCCTGTGAATCTGTAATTTTAATTTAGCGGAGACCACACTGAGATCAATTCATGGATGCATCAGTTGATCACAATTATTGGAGCTTTTCTGAAACAGACAGAGTATACTAAAAATATATTTCCATATACTGTACACGCAAACATGAGACGTGTTCATATATTTGGCCCTCGTAATTGAGGTTGGCGGTTTGGGCTAAATTTAAAGAAAAAATTGTCAAATCTACTTAGGGGGTCGTTGGGGGGGGAGCTTATCAAAAAAGGTAAAATAATAATGAAAATCTTGTAGAATGTGAAATAAAATTCACATTCTTCCAGTAAACGATCCAAATAACCTCGGAATGAATACGTTATACATACTGTATGTAGCTTATTTTTTCAAGAAGAAAATCATATTATCTATGTCGTTGTGCTTTTTAATTGGAGACCTCTCGCCGAAACTTTAAACTTGTTGTTGGGCTAACAAGGGCAACAAGAGTTGTTGATAATTGTGGCGGATGGCGTTTTAATGGGTTTTGCAATGCTATTATGATTAGAGGAGATTTGTCTTACGTAGGAAATTGGCAGTTGCCCAGGGTGGCCACTTATTGCTGACGTCTTGTAACGGTGTTCGACTGTTTGTGACTCAGCTGAGCCACTTGGCTTGAAAATACTGTACAGTATACAGTATAGGGACACGAAGCGCTTGAGCTAGAAATGAAGGCAACCGCGTGTGTGATTATTTGCTGCTGGAATTCCCTGCACTATTTCGGGCATTCTGGAGGAACATGGGGTACAAATCAAGCGTGTCGGAGGATTCCTCGCATTTCTCGGATGCTCGTCGGCGAAGGCAACGACCCCGTCGCGATGTTATGCCTTTATTTTCCTCCCCTCGTCACTCGAGCCCTGCGTATTCTTTTCTCATTTTAATCAACTATATACCCGGTTGTACCTGCATAACTCCCAGCAAAGCATGCGAGTCCATGTTCCACTTTTTCGTTCGTCGTCGTCGTCGTCGTCGTCTGTTGGGCAACCGTCGAGCGACTCCCGAAGTCCGAAGTCGTCATGCTGCTCGTGACGATGCCATTATTTACAATTCTCACATGTAAGCAATGAGTAGAGAAAATGAACGATCGATGTTCTCTGAAGTCGTGTAGGATCCCAGTGCTTGTTCCTTTAAAAAAAAAATTCTTTCCATCCTTCAGAATCTGCGTCGATTTACAGTATTTGGTGATGTCGGCATTCTGCTCAAATGTTTGAAGAAAAGAAAAAACCCTGTTATTTTTTCATCAAGTCTGAGAAATTCTTGCAGCAGTTGAAAACAGCCTATGAAATCACGAAAGCCTTTGCTGCTGATTGTGGAATTTTTATCCTGACGTTTGTTCTTCTGAACCATTTCGAATTACCGTTTTCTTCAAAGAGGGAGTCGGTCGTGGGTTCTGTTACTCAAAGGAATGAAGGAATAACTAACTGTACTGTAAACAACTTGGACGACGTGCAAAAATTGTATTCTGGAAAAATCGATACAATTGTAACAATGACCGTTAAATGATAGTGTAGTCCTCCGAAGGGTGTGAAATCGTTTGACGAAGCCCTGCGACTGCAAAATCATAAGATTTTGTTACTTTATTTTCAATCTTCTTCTTTTTTTTCTTTTAACTCTCTTGCATTCACGCAGTGATGGGAATAATTATTCTGCAGTGGAAATGCAGGGAACCCCGGGTATTTTCTCGGTTAAAACTTGAGCTGACAATCAATTACTGCCAATTGGTGGTTTTAATGTTTAGCAAGTCAGAGGAGAATAGCTTTGAGCAAGAAAATTCTTTCGATTTCGAAGATCACGTGTAACCGAGAAATTACCTACATTTATAGGACTTGATCCCCGCACGTAAGAGATATTCATGATGTTCTTCCTGTGTGTAGAACTCGAGACGAATAAAGGAATGAGTATAAACTGAACTCGAGATTTCCATATGCGCATCTTCCGTCATTCGAAAACTATCCTAATTCGTGATGGGTCAAGTACTGAAAATCGTCGAATGGAATGTGTGAATCCTGATAGCTTTGATGTGCCTCTACACCGTGCATCCTCATAGTTTGAGTAACACTGCGATCGAACTTCATTGAAAGACCAAGTGGTTGAATATATATATACAGTATATATATATTTTTTTTTTCTTCTATGTATGCAATAAAAAATATCTGCAACATGCCGAAGAATGTGTTCTTTGATTTGTACTGAATATATCTTTTAAAACGTACGTAGAGTAATATTTATTGTTAGGCCGAACAAAGTTGAATGGATGCATGTGTCGGGGGGCGATGTGGGAACATTTTGTGAAGACTGATGAGTTGATGAAGCTTGTCAATTTTGCAACCCTCATAATGATGAGTGTTATTTTGTTGAGCTGTTTGTTGTTTTCGGTTGTTCCCGCCCCATCTGCGAAAAGCAACTCGGGAGTCATGACGTGATACAAAGCCGCCTCGGTCGCGCGACACGAACGGCGTCCTGTGCGTTGCATTCATGGCGGTCATCGCCGAGTCAGACTCGAATGATGACCTCCTTCCTGTGCTTATTTTGTCCCACGACAAAGACGACGAGACGCGTCACGAATCGTCCAACGATGTCATTATTGATCTGTCTGTCCGTCCGTCCGTGTTGATTCAACTGCACTAGAGTATATCGAATGTTGGGACGGGGAATTCCTTATTCGTCGCTCCTTTATTAAAATTCGTATCATCATCATTATCCCCCCCCCCCCCCCCCCCCCCCCCCCCCCCCCCTTTGGGACGGGGAATTCCTTATTCGCCCCTCCTTTATTAAAATTCGTATCATCATCATTACCCCCCCCCCCCCCCACAGGCCCCGCGACAAGAAGTCGTGCTGGTGCTGTCGAGGAGCAGGTCGGCGACACCCGCGTCCCGTGGCGAGTCGCCGTTGCAGTCCATCAACTGCCGCAGTCCGCCGACGGCCGCCTCTTCCGGCTCGGCCAACTCGTCGTCCAGCTCGCTGCAACTGGCAGGTCGGCTGGCCACCAGGCCGCCTCGGATCCTGGAGAGCCCCATGGACTCCAAGTCTCTCATTTCCGGCGAGTACTTTACTGTACTGTACTGAATACGTAATTACGTGTACTGTATATGCAGCACAGAGACTTGACCCTATATCCTGCATTGGCTGACCATTTTTTTGTTCCGACTTTTATGATTCGGGAGCCTGAATACTGTACAGTAATTTAATTTACTGTGCCATGTTGCACAGTGCCCATGCGATTGGCGTCCCCAAAATAAATATCGTAGATGACCTCTCCTAGAAGCTCTTGACGACTCGAGTTTAATACGCGGTACGAGTTTCTGATTGTGTCTGCTGTCCTGAAGAAACCCCAGCTGGTTTTGTAGTGTTTCTTTGAATAAATAAAGGCAAATTATTTTTTAAAGCGGCATTTTGGTGCACCCGGTAATCTTCTGAAGTCACCTTTTGTTATCCGGAAACGGCAACCTTGCTGACCTAATCTGGACATTTTTGGACTCTGAACGTGATGTCTAATCAGCAATCTATTCAGACTAATAATACAGTACTGTACAGTTTATTACATTACTGTGCTTTTCATCAACGCTGAGCTCCTGATTACCGGATTTCAGCTCTTGAAAACCTTCCCTTGAGCTTTCTCGAGGGTGTGTTGGTTTAAGGTAGCATCAGGTTTAATTGGGAGAATTTCCGTCTCATTTCCGTGTCCCGTAGGGAAATTACACGAAACTTCCATTAAACGTTGTGAATCCGAATTATATTTGAAAGAAATAATCACTTGTGTTTCGAATTTGCATTTTGGACTATGAATCCCCAGTTTTTCGGTAAGATGGATTTTTCGATGTCGTTGAGGCGTTTTTAGGCATGACAGACAGCAGGAGAATGTGTCTGAATATGGATCTGTATTGTGCATGTTTTCCCGAATGAATGGGTTTTAGTTTTTTATTTGGTTATGGCGACCAAATCTTATTTGAAGTCCGGAGTAATTTTCAATTCCTGATTGCCTTGTTAACCTTTCGTAATAGCTGACGTGTTGATCGACCGATGAGTCGCAAAATATTTGCGCACGTTCATCTCTGCTGAATAAGCTAGTTACATACTTTTGAATCGCTAAGCTTTTTGTCGATGAATATACATCTCTTTGTACAGTATTTTGTCGTTGTTGTTTCCCAAATACAGAATATTCGCACAGTAAAAATAGTGTTCTTAAATGAATCAGGATGTCAAGAAACAGTCATGGTCTTCATTGGTGGTAAAAAATAAATAAAATAAAATAAGTCGTGCTGGGCATTGATGCTTGGCGTCCTGTTCATGCCCAGCGAGTATATACTGTACTGCACTTTATATGGGTTCAAGCTCAAGGAGGTGCTACGTTACTGTACTGTACACTTTTATGTAGTTTTAGTTTGCATATCGTACATCCCGATTTTCGTAAACGTCGTCCTCGTCTTCCAAGGGTTTTTTGATTCATCGACGCTCAGGCGGGAATGTTAATTTCGTTTCTTTCCCTCATCCGAACGCTTTGCAGACATTTCGGCGTGGGAGGTGAATCGTGGGCCGCCGATCACGATCACGCTGAAGAAGGGTGGCCCGGGACTCGGGTTCAGCCTGGAAGGCGGCAAGGATTCCCCGTACGGCGACCGACCTTTGACCGTCAAGAAAATCTTCGTCGGTGCGTGTGCTGCGTCTTTTTCGCATTGTACATTTGCCTCTGTTTCTTTTTTTTATTCTTGTCTTGTTTTCATTTTTAAATAACCCGCCTCTCTCTCATGTCCGGGACTTTTCTTTCGGTTGGAGGGGGGAAAAAGGGGGTTCACGACCTCATCAGACCCGGGCCACGAAAACGGTGTACTTCGCCGCGGTCCAAAAGTTGATGGATCGGGTGGTTTATTTACAGTACGGTATTTTTCATCAATTACCTGCCTGCGTTGAGGGAGAGGGTTATGCAGCAGTAACCGAAATGTACCTTGTGGAATCTTTTCGTTCTTCTTCTTCTTGTTCTGCTGCTGGAAGGTCGCAAATTATTTTCTTGGAGCTCCGTTTGCAAATGACTTCGATTTAAACCAAACATATTCTGCATTCTAAATTTCATCATCGGAGGATTCAGACTTTATACAGAAATCGGGCCGTGGCGCCTCAGGTTCAATTGTGTCCTGACTACTCCTGAGTGACATTTTCATGAAATTCTGAAAAATTACTCTTCAAATTGCACTCCAGCTCCTTCATCGAGAAGTGAATGGGAATATTCATTCGGTACATATTTTCTTCGTTCCATTCTTGGGATGCATCATTTCTGCGCATTTACTCTGCGCCTGTGAAGTTACATTCAAGATTTGATAGAAATTTAACTGTGTCCCACCTGAAGAAAAGACGTGTTTTGTTCCCTATCCTAGGCTGAAAAGTGGTGAATTTATATTTGATCGCAGTGATCTGCGTTACGCATATAATTATTGTTATCAGCTCATTAGTAATGTACAGTCAAACTTCTCTCGAGTTCAACTTCAATGAGGGACCTGCAAATACATTCCAGTTACGAAGACAGACATTTTTCTTCGATGAAAATAAAGAAGATTCACCGGAAATTATAGTTGATGACGAGTAATCCGAGCCTGAAATCGCTGCTTCGATCGACGGGATGCTGGATTGTTGGAGCAAGGAGTCATTTTCCTTAATATTCTTTAATTTCCTCGCAAACTGCATCAAGTTACACTTTTATTGTTTTTCTCTTTCCTGTGTCAATAAAATGAAAGCCTCTGGAAAATTCGAATTATAGAGGTTTGAGGAGGGAAACCTTCGAGTTCAAAAGCTTCTTTTATTGCAGTGTTTCTACTGTAAATGACAACTGTATTTGGACAGTAACTTTAAAAAACTCGAAATATGAAGATTATAGTTGTGTAAGTTCAAACGTGTTATTTTTTCTTGTATCTGTACTGGATGGAATCAATTAATATGCAATTCACTCGTTCGTACGTGTGATTTGACGACCTGCTGCACGCGTGAATAGTATACAATCTACAGCCTACTCATTTTACAGGTGGCGTGGCAGACAAGGAGGGCACCTTGCGTGTGGGCGACGAGCTGTTGTCGGTGAACGCTGTTCCTCTCGCCACGATGTCGCGCCTCGAAGCCTGGAACTGCCTGAAGCGGCTGCCCGACGGCGACACGACGCTCGTCATTCGACAGAAGATCGAGAAAACTGCGCCGTCGGCTCCGTCCGCGTCGCAGCAAATAACCATGGAGCTGTGCTCGTCCGTCAAGAGTCCTTGATGACTCTCGATCGGGCGATCCATGATGATGATGATGATGATGAGGTTCCCCTTCTCTTTTTGAACAGGGACTATCGCGGTGAATTCGTTATATGACACCCAGACAGACTACTGAGATTTTTCCATGATATCTTGAGCTTTTCAACCAGAATTGTATTTGTTTCGAGAAATCGAGTGGGGTTTTATTTTTTTTTTGGATGAGAAAAAAGAAAAAGTTGTTCTGCCAGTAGGCTCTGCATGTGTCCTCTTCGTTCTTATCTCGAAACCATGCATAGTCTGAAGGACATATCTGCAAAATTCCATGAAAACTTAGCTTTAGGAAAAAAGGAAAGAAAATAACTCCCATGTTAATCAGAAAAACATTCCCTTTTTGCTAATTTCCGAGAATGCAGTAAATTTTTTGAATTATATTTGAAGAGATTGTCCAGGTGGATCAGAGTTACTGTGCAGTGAGAATAACTCGGGTTTGGAACGTTTCCGTCCATCTTAGCGATGCATTTTTTTAGAGTTAACAGATGTCACTCGCTGGCACGAATGCATCAAAGTTTTTTCGGTGGTTCGTGCGGGTCTGCTGAGCATTGTTACAATAATAATCAAAGATTCGTGGGATAATCGTGATGCGCTTGTAGATTCAGGAAGAGTCCCTACTTCGTTCTCCTCTTATTTTTGCCTTCACGTTCTCTCTTTTGCGTATTTCGAACAAGATATTATTTGAGGCAACATGGAGGCTAGACATAGAAAAGTTGAATTTTCCGCTGAACAGTAACTCTTTATTATTTTTGGACACCCCAGGATGAACTGTGAATGGTTGAGAGAGTCTTTTTATTGCCCTATCAAAGCTTATTTCTTTGCGCCGAATTGCTCGGAATATAAGCTGTGAAAAGGTGTCGAGAGCAAAAAGCCGATCACGCGAGCTTTGCAATGTCAAAGTTGTCGAGGAGATCGTTGTCTTAGTTTTGCGAGATTTTCGTCAGCAGTTCACGGTGACGATGAATCACATCGTCTTGAACTGCTCAGATATAGTGCCATATTTCGTTCGACCTGAGGATATATTTTATTTTGATGATCGATTTTGCTTTAAAACCGGTGATCAGTCAATCCTTGCTCACGTACGTCTTTCGCTTCCGGCGAAACATTTTGTGTGACCCTAGCTGGTCACATCGCTGTGAGTCGCTTTTGATGTGATCGCGTTCATAATGTCCGTATATATGTCACGACTGTCATGGACCTAATTTCCCAAAAGCCTATGCGTATGTTCTTTTTTTTTCTTTTTAACGAGCAATTGCAAATACTCTTGAATTGGGATAAGCATATGTTTTTGTTCTCAGAATTCTGCTTTTTCATCTCGCTGTTCGCGGTTTTCGTTCTTAGGATTCAAACAGTTCGTGTATGATGATGCATGAGGAAAGGAAGGAGCAGGAAAAAAGGTGTATTCTGTTCTCTTGCGCAAGCTGGAATTGCGATGAGGTTCTTGTTGGATTTGTTTTGGCGCAGGTTGGAAATAAAATCATTTTGATGCTGTTCTTCATCAGGCAATATCTTATTTTTTTGGGATGCCGCATTCAAACACACTTGGAATTCTGACAGCTCTTTGGGCAAAATATACAGTATGACCCTGTGTATGCATCGGATGTCTTTTTTTTGCATGCTGACCCCAATTGTCGTGTGAATACAGTATTAAAAAACTAAAATAGTGGACTGAAGCTTGGAAATGGGTCACACCATATCTCAAATAAGAACCAAAAGAATTGCTTTTTGAAACAAGGTTAATTTAAGAGGACTCTGATGCAACCGTGTCTGGATCTTCATAAAGTACCATGCTCCAATAAAGATCATAAAAATTGGGAATTATCAGAAGTTGTCATTGTTTTATGTTATTTATGTATATATTCAGGATTGATTCGATTGAAGTTATCTTCAAGAGATAGATTTTTCTTTTGTTCTCAAGAAAAATATATGAAATTGAAGGACAAGCCGGGCAATTTCTGCAGAAGTCTATCTGAAACATTGGAACAGCTTACGAATATATGCATTAGCTTTGGCTAGCTAGAAGAATTTCTATGTCAATCAAACTCCATCTGCTGTTGACTAGAAGAAAATCTATCCAATATTGTATTTAGACATAACACAGTATACAGCTGTACAGTACTAATTTTTGTGTGTTCTTATTCCAAAGTTTGAGGTAAATGCAGTGAGACCCCGAAATGCAGACTCAATTGGTGCATCAAGAGTGTCCCTAAGTTGAGTCTCATTATTCCCTTAGCCTTACATTATTTTATGTTTAATAGGTGTTTTATGTACAAAATACTAACCATAATTCCATGAAAATAGAAATGGTCTCCCGATTTAAACTAATTCAATAAATATATTTCAACACCAAATGAAAATTTAGGGAATTGAATCTGGATACCTTTGTAGAGTACATAGAAATGTTGGCATTCTCCGTAAAAATGAAATTAAGTGAGAAAGAGAAAAGGAAGTCCCTCTCTGCTGGAGGCTATTTTTTTAAATTAGCTAAATTGGTGGCAGAAATGTCCAAGAACTTTTCTTACATCAATTTTAGGGTTGGAAATATCTGTTTCTTATAATTTGGCTGAAATGTATCTACATTTTCATCACAAAATCGCATTTTGTCAAGTCAGTGTCCTCATGTTGGGTCTTTTTTTTCAATTTTTTTATTAGAAAATAAGGACTGTATCATCCCTATGTCAAATTGTCTGCAGGTCAAGGTGTCCACATGTGGGGGTCTCACTGTGGGTTCTTCTGATGACAGGACTTCAGCTGGGGGAGTTTTTAAAGTCTATGCTGGTATTATTTTACTTTTATTCTTCTGATGATTTTTGAAGTAGCTTGACTTTCACCCTGCTTGCCAATAAATTAAGTCCATGAGCAGTTCAATATTATTAAAATGTTGGAATATCAGAATCCATGCTGTGAGAACATATTGTAGAAACCATTTGCTGAATAATCTGCTGTGATTTATGGTGGCAAGGGTTCCTCTGGAATTGAATTGGGGGATACAGGTATTTCCTTTCCCCCTTCCATTTGATGGATTGCTTTGCAAAAAGGAATCTTTGCTGTTTACCATTTAACCCTTGGACAGCTAATAAGTCAGACTATTTTCGCAAAATTTTGTTGCACCTCAGAGAGGTGAAGAAAAAAATGAGGACAGGGGGCCAAGGGCAAAGTCCAGAAAATCCTGGCGTTTTTTCCCTCCAAACAGAACAAATTTGAGGGAAATAAAAATATGCTCAGTTGAGCCTTTTTTTCATTTCCCTGTGGTTGTGCTTCTGAGGCCTGAAGATCCTTGCCAAAATAGTTCAAAGGAGGTGAATGAAGTTAGGTGGATATGGGTATTTTTGGTAGAAAGTTAAATATCTCAAGACATTCCAAAAAATATTTTCATGTGCATTCCAATGCCTTTTCATCACCATAAAAGGTAGTAAAAATGCAACAACACATCACAAAAAAATACAGAGCGCAAAAACAATTTTGAAAGCACAACATAAAATGAAAATAGAATGATCACCATCTAGAGGTGTTGAGCAATTCTCAGTGACATTTATGTGGATTAGTTTTATGTGAATTAGTCCAAGAAATTAAAAAAATGGCTGCATGTTTTCCTCAAGCTTGCAGATAGACTGTTTTGCCAGGAAGAGTAGAGGAAGAAAATAAATGCTTTTGGGAAAATAAATGTCAGAGAATCCCTGTAATTCATGGAAGGTATAAGCTGATTTTTTATGAAGAGGCTTGGTGTTTTGTGGACAATTCATTCACAATTCTCTCAATCTTCTTCACCTTCTGTGTACCGCAAATCCCTTCTTTCATTGAAAAATGTTTGGAACAAGAGTTCAGAATAAGAATAAAACCTTGAGAACATCTCTGAAGAAGGTTTAGGAAGCCTGGGAAAATAAATAGCTCAGGAAAAAAAGCTCAAGTGTAACAAATTATTGGAATGTTTGCTAACAGTGTCTTAGCAAACATGAAGATCTAATCAAAATCTTCATCCAGCTTCAAAAGCAGCCAAAAAGGCTTTGAATGCAGGATCCTTCAGCAAAAACCCTTCTTGGAGGTCAGAACTGTGAAAATTTGGAAAAAGTCCAACTTTGGACAATTAAAGCAACTGGCTTTTCTTGGATAAATCCAGACTTTGCTGCAGCCCACCTTGAGGGGCTTTTCTGGCCTTCAGAAAACTGAAAATGCCCTAGCACCTGAAAATAATCCAACTTTGGTCAGAGATGGGAAAGAACCCCCCGCCGTCCAAAGGTTAAAACTTACTCTCACTGAGATGGTCCCAGTTGAAAACCCAGGACCATCATCCAGACAACAGATTCAATGCAAGGGAGCCTTCAGCAGCAAATAATACAGTGACCCCCCGCCTAACGGACCGCCCGCCCAATGGATTTTTGCCTAACAGACCCCCTCTGGAGGTCATTTTCTGCCCCGCCTAACGGACCAAATCCGCCTAACGGATTTCAGTTTTTTTTATAGTTTGTGGCATCTCTCACGTCCCCCTTGCTTCCCTCACACCCCCTTGCTTCTCCACATGTTCCAAGTGTGCCATATAAGTGAGAGAATACCAGATGAGGTCTAGAACAGTTTTGATGAACAGAAAAGTGTGCAAATTTTTGTGTTTCCCAACTGTTGGGGAACCAGAACCACCACCAGCATGAAGAGTGCCTCATTAATTGAGGCACAAGGAAATTGGTTAGAAAAATCACCCAAGGACAATCTCAGAAAAA